ATTACATGGATGTCTAACCTCACCGACGAAGTCAGAGCTCTTTGTTCCTACGTTCCACAGTTTTCTATTATCTAATCAGAAAAGCAGCTATGACATACTACAAGGAACGAGGGATCAGTTTTCCAGATGGACTTGTGCCGCGTTCCAACCTGGAACTCATGAAAACCTTTGATATCAGAGAGGAAGACATAATATTTCTCACCTACCCCAAAGCAGGTGGGTGTTCGTTTGTTGATCCTGGCAAATGAATGAACGAAAAGGTGCCTATTCTGTGACTATTTGGTACATGTAAATGTTTGTAACATTATTTGTATATTGTTGTGTTCAACTTGTGAAATTTTTCATGAAATTGTAATTTTTAATGTGCGCCCAGGGATACCTGAAAATCAGATCAACAGATCGGAGGTATGCCCTGGAAAAAAAGAAAAAGAAATAAGAATGAATAAATAAACTTGAAACTTGAAATAAACTTGAAATATTTCATGTACTGCAACAGTACATCTGCCTGGCATAATATCGACGCTTTACTGTCTTTCCAAAATGATGGCTTTGATGAAATGCCATCTGTCTTGTCGTTCCAGGCACTTTTTGGATCCACCAAGTGATTAAACAAATTCTGGCCTCGGAGGGAGTTCAGGATGAGAAGTATTTGACAGACGTACCCAACCTTTTAGAGTTCACCGTTCCGGGAATAGGCGCCCTGGTGGAATTGTTAAAAACTGCACCGTCTCCTCGGGTCATGGGAACGCACGTCCCCGTGGAGTTCCTTCCGCCTGGTTTGCTCGGTTCCAAGGCTAAGGTATAGTGCGCTATTAATAGTATATATCAAATTCAAAAGTACTAATATCAAAATCAAAGTAGCATCGGTAACATTATCATTTTTAATGTTTATAATTTTACCACGTTCTTGCAGTTAGTCTTCGGGCATGGATTTGCATTAAACGTTAAATTAATATTGAGGTTTTGGTCAGCAAAGGTAATTCATTGATTGCCTTGGATTGATTTCTAAATTTTATAGTATTAAAGTCATAAAAGTCCACACCTCGAGATGCACTTGTAGGCGAGAGTGTTGTGAACAAACTGGTTAGTAAAAAAACTAATCTCCAAGCAGATCAAGGCAGTATCCATTGGCCAGATACATCCTTGCCCATGCCACCGTATGATCTGCTTGAAAATAAGAAAAAAAACTGCTATCCGTACGTGCCTATTATTCTTTACTGGTTGCATCACTCAGCATTGGTCTTTTCTTTCGATTTTCACGACTTTAGATAGTTGTGATGATGAGGAATCCCAAGGACACTGCAGTCTCCACCTTCCACTTCTATCAGAAAATGTCTTACATGAAGACCCCTGAATCATGGGATAGCTTCGTTGAAGAGTTCCTTGCTGGCGACTGTAGGTATCCAATCTGTTGAATCTGAAGATATGTGCAAGTTTGTCAATCTACTTCGATGTAAGGGTCATACAAGACATTGGGCAGTATGTGTTTTGACCCCCAAAATGGCGAGTGCACATACGATACCATGTACGTGCTCAAACTATCAGAATAAGTTACTTTTGTCGAACACTGTCTCTGAAAAGGTCAACCATGATCGCGATGTAGGGAAAGTATTATCATACATGTAAGTATAATATTAGAAACATCTTTCCAAACATTTCCCCTTGCAGGTGCGTGGGGGCCTTTCTATGACCACGTCCTGGGGTTCTGGAAACTGAAGGACCACCACAACATCCTCTTCCTTAAGTATGAAGATATGAAAAAGGTATTTTTGTCGTACAAAGGCCTATACATGTAGCTAGTATCCTCTGCTATATGTTTCGGTTAAGTGCTGTATGTTAAAACTGTGGAAGACTCGAAATTTCTAGTGGACTCAGGTGTCTTTTTACGATAGACTAACCCATTTTCACAGGACTTGCCGGCGGAAGTGAGGAAACTCTCCTCCTTCCTGGGCAGACCGTTGACTGAAGAGGCGGTACAGGCAGTGGTCAGTGCAACTCAGTTCGACTCCATGAAAAAGACTCTAGGACAACAAAGTGCACCTTGGGCAAGAAAGGGTATGTGTCAAATACTTTATGTAGAATACTGGAATGATTTGTTGTTAATTCTTAGACATTGTTGGAACGTTCTTTGGAAAATACTGTTTTCTTAATTTGTTAATTGGTTACTGGTTTCCTCTTTCGTAATCATCCCAATGAACATCTGAAAAATGTGATTAACTCTCTATCAGTCATCACAATAGATAATGTGATAAGTTTTATTATAATGATGGACACAAATGGCAAAGAAAGCTACATAAATTAAGCTAACGTATATCACTGATATATTTACCACCGAAGTAGGAATATTAGTGGTGACAAGCATAGCATGTACATGCTGTAAGCTAGCATCTTATTGTAGTTCTGCCTTTTCTTTTGCCCAGGAGTCATCGGAGATTGGAAGAACCACTTCAGCGATGAGCAGAGCCGAGCTTTTGATGATCAGTACCGCGACAGGCTGTCCAACACTGGGCTGGAGTTTGAATTCGAGTGATAAGTTAACTGCGAAGTCATACATTTACGCCGTAACTGTACACTGTGTATGTAACATTACATGTCATGTGATAAGATGCTTTCAAGCAAAAGTAATGGGGTCTAGATCTGCTGACTGTCTAATGGCAACTTTCTTTGTCAATCATACTTCTAAGGTGTTTTATATCAACTTTCTAGCATTAACATTATCGTATACAACTTAAGTATTAAAGAGATTTTATGATTACATGAATTCACAATGTAAACAGATAAGTTATGTATGTCCGTCAGAGTTTTACATGCACACAGTGTTGCAGACTCCATATTTAAATGTTGGAGTAAAGACACAGTTACGCGGGTCACCGCTTTGCCTATGCACATATGCATACGCCCGACAAAAAAGCCGTTAAACTTTAACCCTAACGTTAATCTTTGACGCTACTTGTCTCACACACACCCTGTGCACAGACTACGGTACCTAGTGCGTCTACTGACGTGAAGGTAAGCAACACTTACACTACAGACCCGTGCTCCTATACCTTTTTGAGTGTAGGACTTGTACGTTATTTTCTTTCGGGGACAATTTTCGAGTCTCCTGTCTAGCGACGTAGAATTTAGAAATAAAATGCACTCGTGACGTTGCTCGGCTTTGTCGTGCTTTTGGTCTGGCTTTGACTTCGATTCGTTAATACATGTATTTCCCGACGCCATTCGTCCCATTGTAGCGTAGACAAGGTTTTCTCCATGATATGCAGACAGATTCGTCAATAATCCGGTCACATAGCCAGCTAAGTTCCCGTGTATGAACAACGTAGTAAGACCATAAATTTTTCTATCTCGCCGTAACGTCAAAGGTATTATGTTTGCCCTCTCACTTATTCAAATAACGCTGAGCTCAAAGTTTACACTGGCAAATGTGACGTTATGTAGGTTAGGTCAGGTTAGGTTAGGTTGAAGTGGGAAATTCCCATACTCCCTCACACTCACGGTAACTGATGACCACTAATGGTAGGGCCCAGTAAGGGTCAGGAGAGAGCCGACTGCTGTCCTGAGAAGTGGTAGCCCGAGTGTCAGTCTTGTTACCTTTCTTTATAATACGCTCTCTCAGGCTAGAGAAGTGGGACCCTTGTGAGAGGCTTGAAATAAAGTGTCGGCATCGAGATCTGGTGTGTTCGGCTGATCCTTGGTATCTCAAGTGACTCTGCATCTTTGTCAATTTAAGCGTTAGCGTTAGTATTGTTTCTCTTACATATCATAAGTTCATCAAATTCCGTTCATACGTTTCGCAAGTTATTGGGGGGTGTTTTTGTACATGTTTTAAACCAAAGGAATTTAGAGGTTCTTTATTTCCTACGTTCCACAGCGAATCAGAAAAGCAGCTATGACGTACTACAAGGAGAGAGGGATCAGTTTTCCAGATACCTTTGTGCCACGTTCCAACCTGGAACACATGAAAACCTTTGATATCAGAGACGACGACATAATGATTATGAGCTACCCCAAAACAGGTGAATGTTCGTTTGTTGACATATTTCATGTATTTGCAACAGTACCTTTGTTAGGTCAATATCGACATTTTACTGTCTTTCGAAAAATTATTGCTTTGAATCATTTAGGTTTGATGAAATGTCATTTCTCTTGTCGTTCCAGGTACTTGGTGGATCTATCAAGTGGTTAAACAAATTCTGGCGTCAGAGGGAATACAAGATGAGAAGTATTTATCCAACTTACCCAACCATTTAGAGTTCACCGTTCCGGGAATAGGCGCCCTGGTGGAATTGTTCAAAACTGCACCGTCTCCTCGGGTGCTAACAACGCACGTACCAGTGGAGTTCCTCCCGTCTGGATTGCTCGGTTCCAAGGCTAAGGTATGGAATGCAGCAACGATAGCAAATGACAGTAGTTGCTTCGGGTTCCCTATGTCGTAAAAAAGCCAATCGTGTATATCAGGCAACGACCCTGGCAGAGGCTTTTTTATCGGGGTTTCTTTCTGCACTGGAATTTTTTAAGGCAACAGTGAAAAAAAAACAAGAAACCCCCCCAAAAAAGCCAAAAATTAGCCCCAAACCAAACCTCTGTATGGAGAGTACCTGGCATGCTGTCAGGGAACTACGGCAGCGAAGAAGCACGGATCCCAGCCCGGCGGGCCTGGTCAGTCAAATTATGTTGTACATGTGTGTACTAGTATTTTCTTCGCATTTTACACATTAGATTATCGTGATGATGAGGAACCCAAAGGACACTGCAGTCTCCACCTTCCACTTCTACCAGAAAGTTCCCGAAATGAAGACCCCTGAATCATGGGATAGCTTCGTTGAAGAGTTCCTTGCTGGCGACTGTAGGTATCCAATCTGTTGAATCTGAACATACAACAGCAAGTTTGTTTACTTCGATGTAAGGGTACCGGTCAGATCATACAAGACATTGGGCAGTATGTGTTTTGACCCCAAAATGGCGAGTGCACATACGATACGTGCTCAAACTATGAGAATAAGTAACCCCTGTCGAAAACTGTCTCTGAATCGCAATTGCATCGAAAATGTCTACCATGATCATGATGATGGTATAATACATATGTATCAGAAACATCTTTCCAAACATTTCCAGGTCCATGGGGGCCTTTCTATGACCACGTCCTGGGGTTCTGGAAGCTGAAGGACCACCACAACATCCTCTTCCTTAAGTATGAAGACATGAAAAAGGTGCTTTTGTCGTACAAAATCCTATACATGTAGCTAGTACTTAGTATGTAAAGCTGACGCAATCATCCTCTGCTCTTTACCAGCAGTTAGTTGCGTATAGTGCCAGGGCCCTGGTACATGCTGTAAACAAAATACATGTGGACGACTCAAAAGTATGTATGTGGATTTATGTGTCTTTTTACGAGGGAGTCGGAGGGACTACTACTACTATATACTTAGTAATCCAATGTTCTTCTTTGTAACAATGAAATTGCTCGGCTACAACCCATTTTCAGGACTTGCCGGCAGAAGTGAGGAAGCTCTCCTCGTTCCTGGGCAGACCGTTGACTGAAGAGGCGGTACAGGCAGTCGCCAGTGCAACTCAGTTCGACTCCATGAACAAGACTCTCGTAGGACAGAAAATTGATCTTCAGACAAGAAAGGGTACATGTTAATATACTTTTTACTGGAATGATTTGTCGTCACATATCATTATTCTAATGATATGTGTCTGAAAGTTCTTAGAAAAATACTTTCTTCTTTGAGGCATTTTAATTGGTTACTGGTTACATCTTTCGTAATCATCCCAATGAACGTCTGAAAACTTGATGAAAGTAACTCTCTATCAGTAATGACTATAGATAACGTAAGTGATAAGGCTTTTGAATCGACTATGTTTCACTATAACGATGGACAAAATACTGACAAAGAAAGCACTGATATATTTTACCGCCGAACTAGGAATTAGTAGTGGCAAGCACAATGTGTATAGGCTGCCAGCTAGCATCCTATTGTGTTTCTATTTTTTTTTGCCCAGGAGTCATTGGAGATTGGAAGAACCACTTCAGCGATGAGCAGAGCCGAGCTTTTGATGATCAGTACCGCGACAGGCTGTCCAACACTGGGCTGGAGTTTGAATTCGAGTAATTGGAGAAATCATTCATATACGCAGTAGCTGTCATATGATACTTTGTTTTCAATATCAATTAAGAAAAAAATTAGGAACGTCCATAAATGCTGACTGTCAAATTGTAATTTGTCAATTGAACAATTGTCACGTGCAACAATAAATATATAGCCTGGTGATCCAAATCTCACGATGAGTTGTGTCCAAATACTTCTGAAGTATTTACTGTATATCAACTTTCAAGCGTCATCATATCCAACTGAGTGGTATACTAGTAGTGATTGTATTATTACACGAATTCACATCTCAATGACATGATATAAGGTCATTAAGTTGTAACAGACGACTCCGTGCTAATAAAAGACACCTCTTGTGCCTTTTACATCATAAGCTGAATACAATCCGCCTCTGAATTTGACCAATGCCTTTTGAGACTGACTTTTTACCAAGTTTATCACGTTTTCCGCGTTACATAACGTCTAAATGTCACATGAGGCCAGTAACTTGACACTAGACCTCCCCTACGAAATGTGTGGTATGGTCTGTTTGTCTTTTACACCTCTGGAATGCTGGGATATCTGTCATGGCCGCCATTGTATGGAAGGAAACGCAGTTTTCTCCCTCGTGATTTTGGCCAGATTTTTGCGGTGCTAGCGACTCTAACGTCGCCAAAATTCTCCCGACGTAGGCCACGAGAACTTAACAGATCAAGATGTCTGCCTATGATTACGGAGATGTGTGTGATATGGATATATCGGACAGTGAAGGTAAGGATGTGGCTGTCTCGGCATGCTCACGGAACAACGCTAGACAGATCGCCCTTTGACGTCGCCGCCTCGATATTTACATCTCGCGGAAAACTTTCCTGTCAACAAAAATGCCACTTTTAGAGGGACAATCAGACATTCATGGTAATAGGTACTTGATACAACATTTGACGTCAACTGAGCCGACAGCGAAAGGGCTGTGTATGTTATGTTTAAAACTCTGCAAATTTATTTTCGGTGATTTTTCAGTGGCTGCGAAGAGCCGAAGACAGTGTCAAATAATTTTGGCCAGGCAGTATCCATTTGCCAGACAGTTACCATTTGCGTAAATAAAGATACCAGTACATAAAAGAGAGCCCGATATAAGCCTGAAACTCTTATTATTGCTATATTACTATTTAGATGTATGGTGTTCAGAAAAATACGAAGCGAAGGCCTGACACTATAAACCCGTGCGGCTCAGGGCCGGGAATCGATCCTAACCACGGCTGTCATGACCTGAATGTTCTAACAGTGACCTGGTCGATAGCTGACCGCTTCTTTTTGTTCAAATAGAAGGGGAAGGACGTGTTGTGGTAGAGAAATGGTTGATAAGGACATAGAAGAAGGGTTCACCAGAAAGTGCACATGATTGTCAAAGTCTAACTCACAATCATGACCATGAAGTCTCCAGTAGTCTCCTTTGCAGGCCGAATAAAGTGAAATGGAAATCGGCCTAAAAAGGGGCAACCCTTACTATGTAACTGGGCAGGGGAGTTTATCGGCCATATTACTAGGACAAATTTGACCAATTTCGACTATTTTGAAGCCAGCTGCTGCCTGCAAAGGAATCTGGTGGAGATTATCTGTCTGTGACCAGTTTTCCTTTACCATGATAAACAACAACAGTGATGTGTATTTCCTGTACCCTAGACTCTCCAGGACCCATGATGCCGTCAGACCCAGGGGGGTCCCCCCCTCCACTCCCGACTGGACCTCCCCCCAGGCAGTCACAGCCACCCCCTCCACCAGTTCAGGAAATCACAGCAAGACAAGGGGGGAACACTGGCGCTGGTACAGGCCCAGGTAACCATGATAGCATTCTGTTCTTTTTGCAGTCATGTGTTCTGTCATTCCATGTGTGTGTGACATTTCAGTGTATGTTGTATTTTGTATTTCATTCATTATTGATAAAAATGACTAGTCAGTTGAGTCCACATTCAATAAATATCTCCCAGGAGCCAATCACATTCCCTGTACCATACAGGTAACTTCTCCAAGCCTGCCGGTTGGTCAGACCTGCCCAAAGAGCTGATGAAGTTAGGCTGGCGGAAACTGTGGAGCAAACAGAAACAGCGCCCATACTTCTTCAACAAGAAAACCAAGAAGGCTACATGGAAGATGCCAGAAATAGTGAGTTCTGACATACTACTCTGAAGCATCAATAGATGTGTACATGTACATACTAAATCAGAAACCATTGAAATAAACATAGAAATCAACAAGTGGATCAACTGGGTAACGAAAAAGGTATACATGTAATTAAACCAATCAACCTCTTTTCATTCGCTAACTTATATGCAGATGGTATTTCCATCCCAGGAATTGACTCTTATTTTGTCCCCCAACTGCAGCCTCAGAAGGACTCCAGTGCAATCTCCAGTCTGATTGACGCCTATGGGTCATCAGATGAGGAGGAGGAGGAAGGCAGGCAGAGTAAGAGGAAAGGAAAAGGTACAGAAGCTTTTTTCAAAACTACATATACGTACTGTGAACATGAAGTGAATTACAGTAACTCGACCACCAAAATAGTCTTAAGATAAATATGCAATGAATGTTGCAAGTCACCAGACAAAGAATTTGAATTTAGAATTACTAGGATCTAAAAAGGACAAATGATAGGTTATACATATTTGGTAACACATGTTTCGTGTCTTCTCAGCAGTTGCCGCCCCACCTGAGATGCTGAGACTCGTGGTGCTTCAGTCAACGGCCGTCAGGTCCGGGACTCTATTCACTACCGGGAGGGGCAACGCCAACATTGGACGGCTCAACCAACCAATCACCATCCAGGAGGTCGCTGTGAGCAAGGTACGTCACATTTCACCCAGTTGGCTGTGATTTGAAAATGGGTCGAGTACTGTACACTTTCATTGAGAAAATTGCTCGATTGCATTCCATGATTGCTTTGTTACATCTCCTGATTTCATGTATTCAGGTCTATTGTGATTCTAATTAGTTAAAGGACCAGCTTGGGAGAGGGTCCATGGAAGGTTATTGATCCCTTCCGGCTTAATTGAAAAACTTTGAAAAAAAATGAAATTAGTGGACAACAGATTGCACAAACCTGTAATGATCTGCTCTGTTGTGTTGTTTTAAAAGGTCCACTCAGAGATCCAGTACAACGAGAAGACTCACCAGTTCATGGTGCGAGACGTGGGCAGTATGAACGGCACCTTCCTGAATGGCACCAGGCTAGCACAGGTCAGTAAGAGCAGCAAGTCTGTTAGTCAAGTCTGTAATGAGTAGGAACTTCTCTTTACTGTAGGCTTCTCTAAGTATTTGAATTTATTTTTGCGTGGTAACAGAATAAGTCATAAGGAGACAGTCAAATTGGAATGTAAACCCTTTACTAAGTATTGATTTTAGCTGTTTATAATATCTATTCAAAGATTTTATTGTTGTTGTCTGTTATTGTACATGTTGAAGATTTTGCTCTGTAGAATAGGTCAATAATGACTTAATAGAAACAAGTCATAGGAGATTCCTACTAGTAGTACATGTAACAGTCGTTACAAATTTAGATTAGATCTGTTGTCAGCACATATCATTCAGGATTGGAGTATGTCAAAATGTTTGTACAGTTTTGACTGTATTGTGTATTTGTGAATCTTCCTGTGCTATAACATGAGTGAAAATGTGATTAATATCTGTCCTGTGTTCTTGTAATTTCCCCCAGCCTAAGAAGGTCAGTGGCCCATTCCCCATCAGCCATGGTGATGAGCTGAAGGTGGGGAACACGGTGATGCAGGCACACGTCCACCCCGGCAATGACAGCTGCTTTGACTGCAGACAGCTCACAGATGTCCTGCTGGGCAGTAGGAAAGGTCAGTTTTCCTTGTCTCCAAGCAGATGTTTGGAGGGAAGATCATACTGTTTTCCTGTTTCCCTTATGTTTTTAATTGCAGACCTATAGTTCATTTTTAAACTTCTAAACGTTTTAACTGAATATAAAGGGTAAGATGTGGTTGTAGAGTTTTTTTTAAAGTGTCTTTTGTCATCTTTAAAGCAGGAAGACTAGCTTAAATTTGCAATCTACTCATGATTAAAATAACTTATTGAGAAGAGTAGGGGTGACCCGGTGTGCTTGGCTATATACATGAGTTAGAAGCAAAGTTCTTTAGAGAGGCTTCTGAGATTCAATGTACCTGGTATTGTCATTATCTTTTGGCTTTATCTTTTAACCTGTCATCACAAGTTGCTGACCCACGCATGTCTTTTATCTACAGAGGAAATGGTCAGGGAGAGACCAAGAATGGACTACAGTGGGCAGGAGTATGGGGCAGCGCCCCCTACATGGGAAGCTGCGTCAGTGCAGGGATATCGCGGTAACGCAGGTGAAGAGGACCCAGCTGAGAGTCTGAAGCGCCAGGTGCAGCAGGCACTTGATGCACTAAAAGCACCTCCAGAAGTGCCACCTAGCGCTCCTACATTTGAACCGCAGCAGGCCTCTGCACCTGACATGAGCAGTGTGTTAGGCCTGCTCAAATCAACAGGAACACCAAGCAGCCAAGGCTCGTCATTACAACAGTCTATTCAGCATGTACTTGATGCTGCCAATTTTGTCCCACCAGGAGTGCCAACTAGTGAAGATGTGTTACAACTGCAGCAGGAGGCAAAGCCTCAGGCACACCATGTTCCACCATCATTGCCACCTGATGCCGAAAGTGACCCGCTGAAGCAAGCTGTACTGCAAGCACTCAATGCAGGGAGTAAGAATGCCCCAGCAGAGCCCCCTGCTGATCCAAACCCATCACTGCAGCAGGGATCACAATTACAGACTTTACCTGCAGGGATGTCAAGTGATCTACCAAAGCCACTTCTTGAGGACATATCCTTGCAGGACTCGATTCGTAAAGCACTGGAGGCCATCAAGTCTGTGCCCGGGCTTCTTCCACAGGTGCTGCCAGCCGGGATTGGCCAAGAGAAAGACTCTGTAACACAGGTCGAACAGTATTCACAATTACAACCTGAGCAGTCTGCACAGACTTTGGAACATGAGAAGAGAGATGTGCAGCCAGGAGTGCAGCACATGTTCCCAAAAGAGAACACTGCTCCAGAAGTGACTCATTCCAAACCATCTCCAACTCAGCAACCCTTGCTCAAAAAGGAAGCAAAGCCAGCCAAGGTAGTTCAGTCACCCCCTGCTCCTAGCAACAAAGACATGCCCCTACAACAACCATTGTTGCACGAAGTGGAAACCACATCGAAATCAGGTCTTCCCCCAGTCAGTAAAGATATGCTAATAGAACAGCAATCATCCATATTGGAGGCTGTCTCCAAAACTGTACCAGAAGTGTCCCAACCCTCAGCTCCGCCTACCAAGCCGCCTCATTCAATACTCAAGAAACCTGTACCACAGCCGGCTGACCAAGATATATTTCCAAGCCAAGCTAAGAAGGAAAACAAATCTAAATTTCAGTCTCCTGCTACCAAGCCTGTGCCAAAAGAGCCCCCATCTCACAAAGAGGAGAAGATTTTACAGCCGCCAGTTCCTTCTAGTCCTAGCACTGCTTCTTCATCTGTAGAAAGTACCCCAGTTACCAGGGTTGACAGTGCACCGAAGGTTCAAACGATACTTCGGAAGCCTACTATTGCTCCTAAAGTCAAGCCAGCAACATCCAACATAGACGGCCCCCCGGAGGTGAAGCCAGCACCCACTACCGCTGCCCTGCCCCCTCCACTGCCTAAAGTGAATGCAGCACCGGAGGTAAATCTCCCGCCTCTTCCCCCAACGGACCAGGATGACCGCGTAAAACCTGCCCCACCAGCGGCCCAGCCAGCGGCCCAGCCTACGCCTGATGCAGACTTTCCACCGCTGCCCCCTTGTGACCAAGACTTGCGTGTGCACCCTCCACCCTTGCCTCCACCCAGCAGTGCTGCTCCACCCCCACCGCCAACCACCTCGGCACCTCCCCAACAAACCCCTTACCCCAGCTGGACAAGCGACACGCCCGCCACGTCCACGGCACAGCCCCCTGCCCCTCCCCCTGCACCACCACCGTTTGATATCACCAAACCACCACCACCCCCTCCACCGCCCCCTAGTGATGACGAAACCCAACCTCCTCCCCCTCCAGCCGATACAGCCCCGCAGCCACCACCTCCACCAGTATCCACTGCAGCCACATCAGCCATGTATCAGCCCTATTACGACCCTGGTACAGGTATGTACTCCCAAGCCTACATGCAGCAGTACCCACCCCCATCCATGGGAGGGTATGACTGGGCAGCTGCTGCACAGTGGTACAGCCAGGCCATGGCATACTCCCAGGGATACATGCCAAATATGGACACCACCAGCTGGGCTGGGACTGGTTGGCAGGACAACAGCTCCAGTGCTAATTGGCAGACGGACGTATCACAAGAAAACAAGGATGGCATGCCAGCTGATAACCAGATGGGGGGACCACCTGACAACCAGATGCCTAACAACCAGATGGGTGGACAACAAGGCAACAACCAGATGGGTGGACAACAAGGCAACAACCAGATGGGTGGACCACCTGGCAACCAAATGGGTGGACCACCTGGCAACCAAATGGGTGGACCACCCGGCAACCAGATGGGTGGACCACCCGGTAACCAGATGGGTGGACTACAAGGCAACAATCAGATGGGTGGACCACCTGGCAACCAGATGGGTGGACCACCCGGCAACCAGATGGGTGGACCACCCGGTAACCAGATGGGTGGACTACAAGGCAACAATCAGATGGGTGGACCACGTGGCAACCAGATGGGTGGACCACCAGGCAACCAAATGGGTGGACCGCCAGGCAATCAGATGGGTGGACTACAAGGCAACAACCAGATGGGTGGACCACCTGGCAACCAGATGGGTGGACCACCCGGCAACCAGATGGGTGGACCTAACAATCAAATGGGCATGCCTGGTAACAACCAGATGGGAATGCACCAAGGTGGTCAGAATGTAGGACCTGGTAACAACTGGCAGAACAGAGGAAGACCCACTGACTGGGCTGGACCAGGTGGTTTCCAGGATAGCGGAGAAGGAGGCTGGACAGACAACGATGGTCCTTGGCAGAGGAACCAGGGCGGGAGGAGGCCAGGCCAAGAGAAGGGCCCGAAAAGGGGCATCTTAAAAAGGAAAAATCAGCATGATGACTCTACAATCTCAGCCAATGAGGTAATGTCCATTTCTTTAAAGGATGTCCTTTTTACTGGAGGCTGAAAAGTTGCACTTGTTTTTCGGGATGCCAAACTATTGCATGTGATGAGTTAAGATTTGGTATGCTAAATACAAAAGAAAGAGAGAAATGTAGACTTGCCTTAAAATTAGTATGACTATGAGCTGTATTGCTGATACCATGTGCTTGAACCTTGCAGACCCCTCTTGGCCCTCCACCTGCCAAGTTAGCTGGAAGGTTTGGCGGAGCAGACCCAGGTGGAAGACCAGCACCCTTCCCACCCGGACCACCTGATACTGCACCTGAAGGACAGGAAACATTTGGTTCTGTCCAGGCTGGACCGTCAGATGACAACATGGACCAGATGTGGAACGACTTCGATAACGAGGTGACCGTCTTAGAGCAACAACTCATCGCCCAGGGAATCAAGAAGAAACCTGGTAAGAATTCTCTCTGGTACATGTCAGGGCTCAAAATACCAACAGGTAGGTTAGTGTAAAATTGGAGATGTACAAGTATTGCTGACATCTACCTGCACATAACTTACTCTGGTTAATAAACGGCATTACCACCAATAAAGTGTAAAAGAAATAATGGCAATGGTTTCTGGACAGTTTTTAATATTAATGATCAATGTTTCTTCAATTATGAGTGGTGTAGGTGAAACTTGTCTCGTGCAGGTAATTTTCAATGTTTTTTCAAAGTGTTTGGAGCCCTGCAAGTAGAACACACTCTTGTGTAATAAATCCTATTGCAATATGGAATTAAGTGATGGTAACTTCAGATGAAAAGAGGAAAGTAATTTTGACAGTTATGTACTTCTGGTTCACTATTATTTTAAAATGTTTTGCAGCACTAGCTAAATCATTCCATTCTGTCTGTAGGAGATAAACAGGATCAGCCCAACCTACCCGACACGCGAGAGTTGGTTATCCAGTCCCTGGTACAGATGGGCATGCCTACTCCCACAGAGGAGGCCATCCAAAATGTGTTACAGAACAGTGCACTGGTCAAACAGATTCAACAGATCTACATCGCATCCACAGCAGCAGCAGCTGGCAAGGTAGGGAAATAGTACAGCCTACTCTCACCTCTCGAATAAAAGTACCCCCTGGAATAGAAGTACCCCCCGGACAAATCTTCAAAATCTAATAAAAGTACCCCCTGGAATAAAAGTACCCCCCGGAAAATTTAAAAATTGACATGTAAGCAACGTCTATGCTCCAAAAATGTGTTCTCATGGTGTATATATATATATATGTGTACGTCTGTATGACCTTGTCACTTGCAATTATTGACAGGTCCTGAATAAACATACCCCCTTGAATATGATTCCCCCAACAAATCTTCAAAACTTTATAAATATCAGGGATCTCCCCAGAAATTCAGAACAGGGTGGAGGAGGGTGGTCTGGAAACCCCCCCTCCATGGGGGGAAGCTATTGCATTTTGTCTTTTCCAAACACAAATGGAGGTCATTTCCTGCAACTTCAGTTCTACATTTTCTGTACAATTGCAGATGTATAAGGCAGGAGAAAGGTTCAAGATTAAAAAAAAAAAGTTCTATTAGCACCCTAATTTTGAAAAAATTGGGCATAGGTTCTCCGGATGACCCCTAACCGGGGGCCAACGGTGCTTCCACAAGTTCAACAAGTGAAAAATACATGATACAAACTGTACATGTATTTACTACCTGGAACTTGGAGCAAGTTATTCCAAAGATGTACTTACTGACAGTAATAAAAGTATATTAAAAACTGAACCAAATCCTATTTCCCAAACAAAGTCACATATTGACACAGCTGAACAAATAAAAATGTGATCATGTCTATAAACTCCACTCAAAAACAATTTTTGAGAGACACTCGGGTACTAAGCGTGATAATCTCTAATATCTCATCTGATTCTCCCAATGTAAAGGATCTTTACAATCACAGCATCCAACCGCACATACATAGAAACAACAATATTACACAAGAAACCAATAAATTCGGAAAATTTCTCAGTAATGTTTGAAAATTATTCTTATTAAAATATAAGTGAATTTTTATTTCAGTTGTAGCCGAAAAATATTTTTCATGCGTTTAAAGTATTGTTTTAGCACTGTAATATGTACTTAGTACATGTTTTATACATTTGGATGCTATCTTGACCTTTGACCACTGTTATTCTAAAAGCAGGTCGGCCATTTTGTCTTTCTCGCCGTGGCTTTTCGAGCCATTTTTTCGAGCAAATTTTAACCATTTTAAACATTTTACGGCCTCAAAAACTCATACAACGAGGAAAACAAGTTGTAGTTGTTATTTTCATGCGTAACATTTCTTCTGGGGATGGTTTATTTTTCCGCCGAGCTGCCGAAAACTAGCGTCAAACCGCAACCATGCGGTTTCTTCGCGGCGGCCGGCGGGAGTTTTTGTATCGGAGCTTTAACGATGTAAACAAAGATAGTCGGAGTTGTTTATCTGAAAATTTTGTTGTGAAACGCCAGCGGGGTGTCAGATTTTCTACTAATGACAACGTTTTCTTTGTGGCGTCATGGCGAGATCGACAATTCATCGACAATTCACAGGAATTTGTGCCGACAATGGAATGAATTTTCCCGGAACTTTTCCGATTTTGAAAAAAGAAATAAACGTACCGTCTAAAATAAGAATGTACCGGGTGGATTTTGAGGCGAAAAAAAATAAACGTCCCGGTACGTCTATTAAAGAGTTCAGAGTAGTTATACCCCGTAGGCTTGACATTTAGTAACTTGCAGTACACCTGTGAACACTAGATGTAGCACACATCCAAAGCAAAACCTCCCATTATTATCTCTGACTAGTGTTTGTTGGGATTTGGCAGATTTTGTTCAGTATTCAGAATGAGTTTTCTTACTAATCATGACATTTTACTTCATCAGGATGCCGCAAAACCTACACAAGAGCCTCCGGTGCCCGTGGAGGCCAGCATAGAGGAGCGCGAGGCCGCCATCGAGCTGCTGATGAAGCTGAAGCAGCCAATCACAGACGAGAGCATCGAGAAGATCCTGCAAGACGCGGAGGTGATGCAGTACATCAGGCTGCAGGTGGAGAAGAAGCGGGCCCTGGAGGAGGCCAAACAGGCTGTGGCGGCCAAGAAGGGAGCCTCCCTGGTGGATGTGGACTACAGAAGGAGACCTGCCCACGAGGAGGACTACAGGAGGACTCCTCCTATACCTGACAGGCCTGGTGACTACAGGAGAATGGCCCCTGGCATGAGGCCTGAGGACCCAGGCTACGGCTATGAGAGAATGAGACCACATGAAGGGCCCCCTTGGGGTCGGGGTCGCCCACCTCCCCCCAGGGGGAGGGAGGGCGATATGGGGCTCAGGGATGAATTCGACAGAGAAGAGAAAGCTGAAAAGGCAGAGGCCCCAGGTTCAAGAAGGGGATCGTTCTTTAAACCTGTAGAGGCAGCAAAGAGGGACACTGTTGCCGCTCTGTACAACATCGACAAAGAGAAGGTGAAGGGGTTCAGTACAAAACTGTTAGAAGCACTGAAAGGAGCTCGTGAGAAGTTGGGAGAAGGAAAGGAAGAGAAAGATGACCATTTTTCCAAGCAGCTGACGGTTGCATTCACCGACCTGAAACTACAGGAGGAGATGCAGAGTCTTTTCCACAGCTGCCACCAATCCCAGGACTCCAAGGAACAATCCCAGGATGCCAATGGAGACTCTCTACAGTCTACCCAAGTGTCAAGCACATCAGAGCAAAGTGCAGACTCACAGGGAAATCTTGGGATAACTCAGCAAGCCATCGTGGCTTTCACCCAGGCTCTGACACCTCACCTGAATCTTCCAGCACTCCTGACAGGGCAGGTCGCTCAAGATGAGTCAACCTGCAAATCAGACACCAAAGAAGGAGAGGGAAATAAAGAAAAGACAGACTCAGGAGATTCTCAAGAGGAAGATGACAAAAAAGAGACATCTGAGGGTGAAAGTTTGGGCCAGACTGAAGAATCGGATAAAGCAAAAGAAGATCCTAGTAATGAAAACAAGGAAACTCAAGATAGTACTGGAGACTCAGAAACACAGACCCAGTCAGACACTGCCATTAGTGAAGCTGCAGTTCAAAGCTTTACCTCAAAACTTATCGAGCAGCTGTGTGTCCTGAACAAAGAGCTAGACAGTAAAGCCAGTGAAGACCTTGTCAAGCCGGGTCCGTCAGGGGAAGGCCACAGGGGGGGTCACGAAGGCAGGTTTCCACCAGAACGAGATCCTTACTACCAGGACCGCTGGTACGCCCCAGGACACGAGCGGTTTGGCAGAAGGGATCCCGAATGGGACGCATACTACAGGGACAATTACTACAGAGAGCAATACTACCGGGAGAGAGAACTGTACTACAGGGAGAGGGGTGCCCGGTATTCGGAACTGGATCAACCATATGGAAGAGGGAGACTCCCTGGGGATGAACCTAAGTATGCACGTGAGTGGGAGGAGTATGAAAGACGGCGTGCTCTTGTCAGGAGAGGGAACCCGTTGTTGGACAGGAGGTATGAAGATCACTCAAGGTCAATGTCTCCTGCAGCAGGGAGGGCAGCCGGCTCTCCTGCATTAGGTCAGAGGTCACTGTCAAAGTCACCAGTGAGAGAACTGCAGAGGAGGTTGGGAGGGGAGGAGACTCGTGGGTCCCTGACGTTTGAAGTGTTCGAGTACATCACTGAATTTGACAAAGTAGGAAAAGAAGGTGACAGAAGAAGGATGGACGGTGATAAAGACAGGAGATCAGAAGAGCGAAGGTCAAGAGAGAGAAGTGACAGCAGGAATCGAGACAGAGGGAGAAGTCCAAGTAGTGATAAGTCAAAATCGCCAAAGGAGGATGACAAACCCAAAGAGCACAGCTTTGCCTTCAAGAGGCAGCAGCTGAAAAGACGCGCCATGCAGTTCCTACAGGAATATGTCCGGGAGAAGGGACACAGCATCAGCGTGGTCGTCCTCAACACCGTCACCCAGAACGAGGAATTCTTGCTGGAATTCTGTGATTTCCAGGACGGAATCATGAAGAAGTCGCAGTTCTACCAGCGTGTGCAGGACTATGTGGAACTTGCCGACATCAAGATGTCGCTAAGCAAGAAAGGCAAGAAGTTTTCCAGCCTTGCCAGGGATGCTGACGTCGAGGACATTCCAGAGAAAACGTTTGGTCAGCCGCCAATGCAGATTCCGGGGGAGAAGAAGCCTGACAATGCTGATTCTGATTCCGAGTCGGAAAGTGAGATTGACTCCTTACGGCGACAAAAGCAACAGCTATTCCAAAAGAGGAGCAACATGATCAAGGAACTGAGCCGGCTTCGAGACCGTTTGGACCGGTCACTGGACGGGGAGGAAAAGGCTGAACTGGGGACTCAGATTCTAGAAAAGGAGACAGACTTACAAAATGTAAAGGCAGAGATTGCAAAAATAGCGGAAGCAATGCAGGAAAAGGAAAGATAGGAACTAAGATATTCCGTCTTACTTTACATGTACCTGCATGCAGAATGTAAGTTTTGTAGCTACAATAATGAAATGATGACTTGCGTCCCCCATGGAATACATGTACATGTAAAAACCTGTTTATCTTGACAGGTAAACTTTTCATGTAGCTGATATTGAATAAATAGTTTTGATACTAGTATTACAAGAGGAATGTCCACATTTTGCCTCATGTCATATTTCAGTATTTCCTTTTCAATGGTATTATACTTTCTCCAAAAGAGGACTGCTGGTTTGAGGTGTAAGAAAGATGGGATACTGACATCACCAAGACTGTTTGAAATGTTGACATTTACTGTTTGTACAAAATATCAAATTGTAAGATCAATTTCAAAAATCAACACCTCTCTTGTCATAGCCGAAAGAAAAAGGTAAAAATTGTAGACAAGAATGTGCCAATGTATTTTGGTCCCAGCTTGTAGAAATGCAGCAGGAGTTAATGAAATAAGCGATGTGGATCAAAACAGCACCCTTTCTGTTCTGTCAGAGTTTTGCTGTTTGTTGGGGTTTAGATTGAGATTAAAATGTCAGACAGCAAACAGCCTGTGCCTTTTCATAACTGTCCTTATATTCAGTTGCAGATATACTTTTCTGAAATATGTATAATTGCAACTTTTCAACTTTTGTAGAGCTACAGTCTTGTACCAGTCTACATAGTTACAATAAAACAATTGGTTCTATCATTTCATCTTTTAGTTGCTTGAGGAATTCAACCTCAATATAGGGCGAAAAGATAATGTGAACTTGTGATGACGTAGAAGGTACATAGCAAAATAAACTTTCAGAACAATGAAAAAAGAATCACTAAAGCTAGTACATTTTGTACGAAAGATAATATTACCAGTTGCCCAGTCAAGTTGAAAAGTTTACATGGATTCAGCTGGCCGTAAAATCAGATTCCGGAAAATATGAACCATGAAATGTGATTTGTAATGGGATCCTTTATCTTTCTTAGCATACGTAATTGGAAGATTGAAAAGAAATATGACTTGGAAATTGCGTTGTACGTTGTGAAAGGTTTAATATGAATTTAGCAGAAGGAACATGATCATCAATTGATCATCAAGAGGTTACTAGTAGTTTACTCAAACAAAAATTTACTCCAACTTAAACCCCCACACAAATAGTGGTATCACCCGCGGGAGATGAATGAATACTAATGAGCAACATGGCGGAAGTAGCCTGTAAAAAACAGTTTCAGGAAGTTTTTGTGACCGAATTTGCGGAACTTTAAACAACCAAACAAGATGTCACAGGGATTGCCGGGTCAGCTCAGCAACGAAGAGCAACTCTGGCTGCTGACGGAGGTGAAAGAAAACCGCATGACGCAGGATGAGGCCGTGCAGTACGCCATGGAGAGGGGCGCTCAGGCAAGACTAGAGGCTCAACAGGTACAACAACAAGGAGGGACGCCACAGGTAGGCAGAACGGCTTTTGGACATGCTGGGGACAGTTTTACGTTGACTGTCAAGCCTGACAACTACAACAACGACTAGGAAGAAAACCAGATTTTTCAGGCTCGAAACGGAAGGTTGTTTCCAAATATATGAAAAGGCCCATGAAAATTCATACAACTGTCAGATCAGATTTTTAAATTGAACGTTTTAAATTTTTTGGTGTCCTCCCATGCACCCCATTTTGCAGGTCTGCTTAAAACAAATTGTTTTAAGTGTGCTGGTGTTTAAGATTTTATGTACAAAGCGTACAAAATAGCCATTCAGCTTTCATCCGCGACCTTTTTTTAACAACATAGTAATAAATTCTTCAACTTGTTTGTTCCACTTGCCACCATGGTGTGTGGGTGTACATTCCAGCCATATAAGGGAAAGTTAAGTAAACCTAATTCAACAGTGCCGTTACTGTGTAAAGGTACCACATGTACTCTAAAACAACCCTTAAGGCCTGAGACAACAAAATTTCTGTGAGGGATTTGGCTCAAAGTGCAGAAACATAATAATTGTGAGGCAATATAAAACGTTATTGCATCAACGTTAACTTGTTTTGTAACTTTTGAGGTCAACAGTTTAGTAACCCTTAACATCTGTATGCTATAGCATAAAACGTTGTTGTCATCAACTTTGAGCTATATACATGTAATATAGTTTTTTTTTAAGTGCAGTAAATTATAAGTTGCAGTAAATTATATAGCTGACGTCAATCGAATCCGTTGGATTAGTTTGTGTTACATTATTGTAAAAGCAACTTTTGGTGTACATGTATCATAGATATGTACATACCCAGATGAAACAAGTTTTTAGAGGGGGAAAGTCCAAGGCTGACATGTTTGTAACTCTTTGGTTTATTTGTTTTGCTCTCCCGAGATTGTAGTTTAAGATATGTAATGTTTGATGATGGATTTTTTACCTCCATGGTATTTTTTACCTCAGGTCTAGGCTAAGATCTAAGCCTGCCCTAGCTATTTGACATACCTTATAAGTAACCTTAACCCTTAAGACACTGAAGTAACTAACAGTTTGGCCACTAGTTATACTACCAGGAGGAAGCTTAAGTTAAGACCATAAACATTATCCATATACAGCTGAGCAAAGCTAAGTACTAAATGGTTCCAGCTGAGGGAAAGTCAACAACGTTGGAATGCAGCTGGTCCTGTGCCAAGTGTTCCCCTTGTGTAAAGGGCACAGCAGGAAGTCGTTTCCACCCACCAAGTTCATGTTTTAATGAGTATTCATGTCAGGCTTATCATGTTTACGACCTGCTGCTATGGGGACAAAATGTTTTCGTCAAAACTCACAAAGATGGCATACTTTTTTCATTACTTTTCTGATATACCGTATATTACAAACGTATAAGAGAGTGTAACCCTGACCCCAAAAACAACTATTACAAATGAAGTAGACTGTCATATTAGCTGTCATAAGAATTGACCTGTGATGTTACTTGTGCATGTACCAACTGGCGTTATATCAATTCCCAGCTTGGAAAAGAGATCAACAACATGTGCAGTGACAGAAGAAGTTTGTTGCACAGTGGCCATGTCTATATTTATTCAAGGTTTATAATACTAAAAACAGAAGTTTGCTGTATATTGTGTAGAATCATGATGGTAAAGCCCCCCCCCCCATTTTTCTTTTTAATTATTTGCACACTGTAAAATAAAATAAATACTAGTAAACAAATGAACAAAACTTCTAGTATACATGTGTATTAGAGATAATCAATAGAATTCGCAGGTGAGGAGAGGAGCAAATACTTAAAGTCTAGTTCCTCAAATTTTTCTACTTGTATTTAAAAAAATAACAGCACTTTACCAAGCCACTGAGAGACACACTGTTCTTCCTTTCACCCTTTTTTCTACCTCCATGCTTTCACAGGAAATGTCCAAGACAAAGAAGAAAGGATTCTTCAAGAAGCCCAGCTTCACTGGGTTTGGAAAGATACATGCACCTCATGTACCCTCAGCAAACATGGCCAAGATGTTTAGAAAGGACAGCAAAGGTTCAGAAGATGTAACGCTAAAGGACAAGGGTCAGAAGTCGGAGGTCAGCAAAAACACAGGTCTGGTGGAAGATCTGATGCGGAAGGAAGGGATGTCTGAGGAAGAGATGCAGAGAGAATCGATGGCCTTCAGCAGTGTGGTCGGTGGAAAACTTACTTTTTTCCTGAGTTGTTACATCAACCTCCTACATGTACCATAACTTGCACTTTCAATGGCATTTTGAAAATATTCTAACAGCCTAAATCATCTGAATTCTCATAGTATTTAAATTGTGCTGCAGTTAAATGAAACATGCCAGAGGTGTTTGTCTTCCTGTCACAAAAGACATACAAATCTCATGTGAAATTGAACCATGCTACAAGTGTTCCAGCAAAGTTAAACCATTGTGTACAAAGGCTAACATTGTGATCTAATATGTTTTTGTTATTTATATATATATATATATAATATATTATATTATTACCCTTAGGAGGTGAAAGAGGGAGATGCAGCAAGGTCCCTCATTGGGAATCTGGTGAAGGTAAGGCCACCAAGCCAAACATTATTACTTGTTCACCATAGTCAACTAATCATGAAAATGGTATCCAGGTGACACCTAACAGAAATGTTAGAACCAGGTGTTTGTCACTGAAGTGATGTATACAAGACTGCTCCATCGTAACAGTCCCATAATTGGCAACTTCAGGCACTGCACAATTGTATTTGTATATTATGTGAATATGTTGCTGTCAATGGTGTTCTACAAAATTGAATGTATTTCTTTTGTAAGATATGGTAGCCTATCATTGGCCAATATGGCCAATTTAAGGAGAGCTTCCATGTTAAAGAAAAAATGTGTTATTAATTGTGCAACCTTCCCATTTTTCTCTCCCACTAGAGAGGCCGGATGACCATCGAGGACGCCATGCAGTATGCACAGGACCACGGCCTGGCTGAGGCTGAGAGGGCTGAGAAGGAGAACATTGCCGAGGCCAGCAGTGCCTTCCAGCAGCGGAAGGTCTACAATTTCACCGTGTACAAGTTTTTCAAACATCGCACCAGTCAGAGGAGGATCCTACAGGTGGGTAGATAGGCAGGGATTTCATCCCATGAAGGTCAACACATAATGAAGTACTCTAGTAGACTGTACTTTAATTCTCTTATTATATGTTATATACAATGAAATTACTTTGGTGATAAAAACATTTTGTTCTTTATTTTCTGTGCCTCTATTTTGTCCAGATTGACTTTGCTATGAAAGTGCTGCGGAACATCCAGAGGGGAAACGTAAACAACACGTTCCAGTTTGAACAGGTGGCAGGGTCTGAGAGTGCGGTAAGGAAGTTAAGGAACTTTGCAAATATATTTGCAAAGTTTTGCAATTTCAACATGAAGATTTTATACCAATTCTTTAGAAAATTCCAACCACGAAAAATAGTCATTTTCTGACCAAAGAAACAACATGCTCAATGATGCAGTTACTAGTAGTTTTTAATCCAAGGATAAGCCTGTCACTTGCACTTATGTTAAAAAAATTCTGACAAAAAATAAGCTGGTACTTTGAAATTATTCTATCATATACATGTAGTAAGATTATAACACACATGTTAACTGAAAAAGACCTCTCTTTTTGAGTAGCAATTTGCCTTGTTATGAAAGTTTTTGAAACAATGATAGAAATGTAATAAAAGGAATGTTTGTTCCCCTTTAATATTCAGGAAGGGTTGAGGTTCTTCATTTACTTCGAGGACTATCATGAGTACGAGTTGAATGCAGACAACTTAGAAGAGAAAAACAAGGTAAGTCCACTCAACTTTGTTTTCTTGTAAAGCAAGGTTGTCCTTTCCGTGTCTTTGTTTGTTAAATGTTTGGAAGTTTGGAAGTAGTGTGTCACCCAGGCCACATTATTCAACCAGAAAGAGATGGCTCAAGATAACTTTATTGTTATCTTTACGGACTAGATCAGTGCAGAGACATTGTGTATAATGTCCTTGATCAGTGGAAAACGTACTAGTATTTGGAGAAAGAAAGTCCACATCCTCGGTAAGACCTTTTGTCACCTTCTTGGCATCATTTTAAGATTCAGGCAAGACCTTAAAAGGATGAAGACTTATTATTTTTTAGAAAAAGCAGAATCATT